CATATTTGTATAGTTAATAAATGAAGGTATGAAGAAGATGAAAAACAGGAGCAGGCAATCCTTGGGAGCTAGGGTATGTAGCTCGTTACTGATAGAAAACCTGAGCTTCAAAAAGTCAGATATGATACTGAGATCTGATATTCCCTTTACCCTGAGCGCTACAACATGAAATCTCAAATCTGATTTGTTTACTGATTGCACGAAAAATAAAAAAAATAAAATCAAAAACAACAAACATACCTAACAAAAACTGAGCAGCTAGAAAAAAATGGAGGCAAAGACAAGAGTATATTGTATAGGATTATGATAACGCATTGCCTCCATCCTCCCCTTGTAATCACTAATGCCCTATGAGGTACGGAGTTCTCACCCTCCTCTTCTCCCTTCCCCACACAATCCCCCTCCCAATTCCTCTACCTATACTATGCTGGCAGACTTTAGACAAAGGCCATTAACAAGAAAAGGAAAACACGAAAAACACAAAAATAACACGACGTTCACTCCCTAGCCTTCGCCAACCCAACCTGATGATTGCCCAAATCATACACGCTATACCACCGTCTCAGGAACGCGTCGCCGAGAATAGCAAGAGGACCTACGGGCTCGGGGAAATCCATGCCCATGAAGCTGCTGATGCAAGAACCCTGGATCTCAAGGATGTAATCATAGGATCCAATGGTGAAGTTGTGGCCCGCCAAAGTGAATGTTAGATCGGGAAAACTGCTGCGCTTAGAGCAGTCGACGGTGTATTGGCCGTTGAAGGACTTTTTGGCGCCGATTTTTTGGTTACTGTTTTTTGGAGTTTTTTTTTTTTTTTTTTTTTCTTGTGGTTAGTTGTGCTTGGGCGGAATATCATTTTTAACAAGAGAAGACGGAAGGCTAGGAAACTTACAGGATCTCAGCGACGGTGGATGGCAGGGCAAGAAGGGACGTGCCGGTGTCGAGGATGACGCCGGTGTTCTCTAATTCGGCCGTCTCACTACCGAAGGTGATGGCATCGAGATCAACCTCCCAGTAAGCCTTGCGGCGGAGAGAGATCATGGTAAGATTACCGGTATAATGATCCTTATCGATGCCGCCAAAGGTAGCCACAGAATCATCGCCGTCGGTCTCAGAATTGCCCAAATAAAAGCTAAACACAGGCTCATCCAGCAATCCCTGGTTGACCATCAGATAGAACGTGGGTACAATGCGGTTGACGGAGATGGTGTCATATCCCAGTCCAAGGATGCCGTCAAATCGGCCAAAGGCGAAGGCAAGTCCTGGCTCGCTGGTGGCCTC